AGATGGCCTGAGGGTGAGCACATTTTCAGCTAATGTTCATTTTTGGTGAACTATTACTTTAAGAGAGTTTGTTTGTTTGTTTGTGTGTTAATGTCAATTTCCAATGAACCAATTGTGTTTGTAGATTGGGTTTGCACCGTGAAGCTGAGAAGCAGTTCAGATCAGCGCTCACACACCAAGAGTTTGTTGATACTTACCTCTACCTCGCAAAGGTACCATTGACAGGTCTAGCTTTATTGTGTTCAGCTTGCTGTAAGTACTTCCCAGTGAGAGCTCTTTGTGCTGCGCAGGTGTATCAGCGGCTTGATCAGCCCATCACTGCTCTGAATGTGTTCAAGCAAGGCTTGGATCACTTCCCCGCCGAGGTCACACTGCTCACGGGAATCGCACGCATCCAAGAGGTATCTGTGTATTTGTCTTTTTTGTTTGGTATTTGTCTTTTTTTAATGTTCACATCATTTATTATACTTCAGATTAATTTGTCTTATGTAATAGAATAATCTCCCTGTCTCCATCAGGAAATGAATAACATGATCTCAGCCACAGAATACTATAAAGAAGTATTAAAGCAGGACAACACACATGTGGAGGCCATTGCCTGTATTGGCAGCAATCATTTTTACACAGACCAGCCAGAGATCGCCCTGCGCTTTTACAGGTGACTTTATTTCTTTCTTTCTTTCACATTATAAAAACATGTTTAAAACAGCTAAATTCCTAATTCCAGTATTTCTAAATGATTTAAAAAGTTTACTTTGTACGTAGCACAAAGGTTGCGTAAGTGCATTTATTCAGCAACCACAATCGCAAACAGTTTGGCCGAAATTCATGTTTGAATTTATTGCAGTTTGTTTGCAAATTTAGTAGCAGCAAACAGCACAAGCGACTGTATGACTATTTAATTAGAGCAGAATATGTCAGTGGAGATCGCTAAACTCCAGCACACATGTTTGTCAGGGTTTTCAGATCATCAGTGCTTTTTAGCAGCCCAGAGAGAGTGTGTGCACGGTTGCCAGGTTGGGAAGAATAAGTAAAACACTGGGCAGAAAGTGTATCATTTTAAGAAAAAGCTCTGATTGGAGATTTAAACTCTTGACATGCCCCTTTAAATTGCATGTTTTTCACGGAGAGTGAACATAAGGATAGAAACATCATTCTTACAAATTTTGGACCATTTTAAAAACTTTATAAAGTTCATGAAACAGTATAAATAACCCTCTACGGACACATTGGCAATAGAATTGCCATTGCTGGTAAATTTTTTTGTTTACTCGCCAGACTAATATATGTGTTTGTGTGTGTGTGTGTATATACTGTATGTATACTGATCCGTGATCCACTTAACTAAGTAATTAATGGAAAGCAGTTACATTAAAAATTATTTTCCCTGCTAACCCTGAAAAATTATACGATCCGTGACTCAAAAACCGTAATATGATCAGATCCGTGAGTTTTGTGATCCGTTGAACCACTAAAATATATATATGTATATGTGATTAGAACTAACCATGAAAATGTCTAAAAATGAAAATGTATGGATGCATATTTGTCATTTTAACAGAACTTAGGGCATTGTTGATCATTCAGTGTAACAAAAGTTACTTAAAAACTAACAATAAAACTGATAAGATGATACTACTACTACTAAAAACAACATAAAAGGTCTGATGAGCTGCTGGTAATGAATATTAATCACATTGTCTGCATTTGCTTGAGCTTATTTGCTGAAATCATAACAGTGACGGTAATAGGTGAGTGCCAGCCAATGAGATTGCGGCTTGCGCATTAGCTCCACCCACTACCGAAGAAACCGGAAGTGGCTTCTGCATGTTTTAAAAAGGCTGAATAATTCCAAATGAGCTCTGTTATTTTGACAGGAAAATACAACAAAAAACAATTTAAATGTAGTGCGTCAGTTCTACGTGGTACAGTATGTAAGTCTCTCTCTCTCTCTCTCTTTTTGTGTGTGTGAGAGAAACACAGAGCGCTCTCAGATAAGCAATGGCGAGTCGGGGTCAAATACGCTGCACATCCATTGAGATGAACTGGAATAGTGCTCTTTAAAGACAGAGAGCGAAACTTTCAAGTACTCAAGAGTGTTCAAGACGAGTAAAAAAAAAAAAATCTTACACTTTAACTCAAACACTGGAGAGTAAAATCTAACTATTTATTAGCCAATGGCTATTGATAGACATTATTTAATCGATTAGCATGAACATTTAGTTGCATATGCAAGTGAATTACTCTCATTGTAGACGGTTGATAAAAAACTGAAACTGCATCTCATCCATTTAAAATATAATTATTGACACATCTTAATTTCAGCTAGGCATGGAAAAATATGGTCAAATGAACAAGTATCATTTGATTTGATTGGAAGGTAAAGTTGGAAATCATTGGCATTACAAAGATATGTAATGTTATATTTTAGAAATATAGAACTCAGAGGAAGCACAGTAAATGGAAATTAGAGAGGGCCTAGAATGGATCCTTGTGGAACACCACCAGAAATGGGTGCAGGTGATGAAGAGAGACTAAATGTTCAAGAAAAAACACCTACCCTTTCAATAGGAAGCAGAACACTGTAATGCAAGGCCCTGTGTGCCAAAGTACACACTCAAGGTGTTTTAACAGAATAGCATGACAATATTAAAATAGACAGCCCAAGAAGGACATTTGTGACCTTCAGCAAAGCTTAAAACACGAAAACCTAATTTAAATTTATCTGACAACATAACCTTCTCTCAACATCTTTGAGATGAAAGGTAATTTGGAGATGGGTCAGTAATTATTCTATACAGTGGGGTCAAGATAAGAATCTTTCAATAAAGGCTGTACAATGGCTTCTTTAAAACTAACTGGAACTGCAGACATTTCACCTCTCCCAGAAGGCCCAGGAGCCTCAGCGGCAAATTACATGCAATGCCTGCAAATCATATACAATATCCTGAAAACTGGGCGTGAGAGAGAAGCCCTGCTTCCAGTATTAAGAGCTTTTTATTGGTGATTTGTTCACAAGTTGTCAGACGATATACATTTGCCATTGAATGAACCAACCCTGCTAACACAGCTTATGAGCAAGCAAATGAAAAAGAGAAGTCAGGACAGCTTTAAGTTTTGGTGTTAATGTCATTTAAATTGGCTGACTATCAAAGGAGCAACTCTATTAATGTACTTCTACGTGATGAGGCATATAATCTCACAATGTATTATATTATATTATATATGCATTATGTAGTAATATTGGTGTGATGCTTCCCCCCTGAAATGAGTTTTTTGCAGGGAACAAACCCATAGACAGTAGAGCTATTTATTATAGCTTTGATCATAGAGCAGATGCTATCAAAAACATCCCTAAAAAGGTGAGCAGGCAATAAGTATGACTGGGTAACTATCATCTAGGAAATTATTTAGGATATTCCACATGAAGACACTGATTGAGAATGTGTAAAGCTGTGGGAGGGTGGGACTAATGCAGAGTAGTGAACAACATAGGACAAAAAAATGAAACCTATCCTAGATTTTCTGAACTATGAATTTTAAAGGGTCGTGATTGACTCGTGAAACCCTGTAACACATTTTCTCAGAAGTTAACAGATATATACAGGTTGCACATCACTGAAAACAATGATAGCACTCATTGCGTTTATGATTAAAGAGCAGGTCATATGGGTTTTTGAAAAATATCTCTTTTGCAGTTTATAACGTAGCTGTCCTTAAATGAAAACAATCTGCAAAGTTGTTAATCAAAAAAGTGCATGATATATAAAGATATTGTCTCTCAAAAGAGAGAGTCGGTTCTGAATCGCCTTAACGAGTCGTCATATTTTCGAATATTTTGCCTGTTACCGGTATACGTCACTGGGTAACACATCTGCATAATCCCCGCCTGCCCGCAAAATACGAACAGAGTCTGACCTGCCCACAAACACTTCCGCTAGTTAGTGTGTTTACATCATGTTGAGAAGACGCTGTGTTTGTGAACCCACTATTTCCTAAGAATGTGTCGATTATTGTAGACTGATGTTGTTCTAATCACTTCGCTGAATAATAAAGAATGTAGTGTAGCGCACATACTTTATAATCATAGTGAAATTTCTGTTTATTTTGCTAAACCGGCAGTTATAGGGTTAATGCGGGAGAGACGAGCGAGTTAGTTAGGCTGCTGCACCTGTGATTAGGGATGTAACGATTCACTCAACTCACGATTCGATTCGATTCACGATTTTTTTTAACAAAATGAGATTTATTTGCTCCGAATTTGCTTCCAACGAATCGTTTCGAAATCATTGGCAAATGACTCTAATATTAAATGTATATTCTGAGAAAATTACAATGTTTTCTGACCTTAGATGCATTTAAACCTGTTGTAGGGGACTCCAACACAATATTAGGACACTTTAAAATACCATATGACCTGCTCTTTAAAGAAAAAGGTGGGGTTTGTTCTGGTTTGAAAAGCAAATTTGAAGCAGCGTAAGAAAATGTGAAGTATATGCATAAACTCGTGACTGGCTGGAGAGTACGTGTCTACATCATTGTTAATGGGAAAGAACTTTTCAGTCCAATTACTGTGCTAATAATGTTAATTGTTGGATTAATCGACCAATCAAAAATATAATCAATAGAAAAAAAAAATCATTATTAGAAGCCCTAATACAGTCATTTGAGTCTTTAGTGACGGTCAACAATGGATCTCTGCATCGTATCTTGTGTAAATTCAGCCTCTGTCTCCTGTTTTTTAGGCGCTTGCTGCAGATGGGGGTCTTCAACTGCCAGCTGTATAACAATCTGGGCCTGTGCTGTTTCTACGCCCAGCAGTATGATATGACCCTGTCGTCCTTTGAGAGAGCTTTAGCCCTGGTGTCCAGTGATGAGGAACAGGCTGATATCTGGTATAATCTGGGGCATGTTGCAGTGGTGAGCAGACACTCAGAACCCATTGTGACCTGTGTAACAGTGTGCAGATGAGAGAGAGCATGCCACTCACTGTCCCTCACTGCTGTGACAAACTCTCACGTCAGTGATCTGACAACTGATTTAGAACTGTCAGTCAGACTAAATCAGACCAAACAGGAGGTAGATTCATACTGATATCACTTAAAAGAAAGTATTTTTGCAAACCAAACATTTAACGGAGCATGGAAAGCCAGGTATGCTTCTCATATAACCTCTGCTGGCAAACAAGTGGCAAAACATGTTCTTTTAATGGCAAAAGTGTAAGGACTGATTTTTTTATAATAATTTTTTTTTTTTTTTCATTTCTCTTTTATTGTAGATTTGCTGAGATTTGTGTACATCAGCTGGTTTTGAAAAAAACTATTATATATATTATTGAAGGTTGCTATTGTTCCCAAAACAGAAACAATTGATGGAAAATGCTGATTCCACAAAAAATCTTAATGTCAGTCTGTAATGACCCAAGTTATTAATTAATAAATTATGGACGTTTCAGGCTTTTCTCCTCTCTCTCTATTCCGCAGGGCATTGGTGACTTGACTCTGGCTTACCAGTGCTTTAAACTGGCCTTGGCTTTTCACAATAACCACGGTGAAGCTTACAATAACTTGGCCGTGTTGGAGCTACGGAAAGGCCGCATCGAGCAGGTGAGTTTAGTCTCTCAATAACTAATGTCATCACAACACTTTTTCCTTAAGAAAAATTGACATGTACTGTTTTGTATATTTTCAAATGAATGAATACTGAATTGAATCCAGAGATTGTGAATCAGTATCAAATTGATTTGAAAATCTGTCAGTATATGTGAGGGGTATCGTTAAAGTTTTTTTGCAAAATTTGCTGTTTTTAATCCAGAAATAGGTAATTTGTCTGATTCGTAAAGTCTCACAAGATTACTGAATTCTACACGCTCACAAATGCTCCCGTTATAACAAAAAAGCACAGGCACCATATAAATAAGAGATTGATTGTTCAGTGTGTAGTTAGTCATTGATTATAACAGGAGTTTTCACGTGAGAGATCTCAGTCAGTTGTGCTATAAAGGGAGCGTCCTTTGTTCAGTTTCTCTATGTAATCCATTCACAGTGTAATTGCAGAAGTGAATCTGCTAAACTGTTTTGAATGCCTTTGCCACAGTTATCACTGTCAATCATAGCAATGGACGGAACAAAACCATGACGAATCAATGTCAAAATAAAGCTGTGCATTAAGGGATGCAGAATAACGTCTCAGGCTAAGTATGTAACCATGGTTCCCTGAGTAGTGAACACGAGACACTGCTTCCTCTAGGGGTCGCTATGGGGAACGCCTCGTCGTGACCCGTGTCTGAAGCATACATTGAAAAAACACCAACAACACGTTGGCCGGCGACAGCCATGACGTCACTACCGGTGCGACTATAGTATAAATAGGCGCCGGGAGAACACATCATCCTTTTCTTCGTCTGAAGCTTGCGTCTGAAGCATGGCAAGAAACCTAGAGGACGCAGTGTCTCGTTCCCCACTCAGGGAACCATGGTTATATAAGTAACTTGAGATGTTCCCTTTCAAGGGAACTTCGAACTGCGTCCTCTAGGGGTCGCTATGGGGAACGGTATACCCACGCCACCATGCTGAGGGGAGTGCATGCCAGAACCATGGCGAGCACTAAGTACCAAATCTACCATATTGCTATGGGAGTTGCCCCTGGGACGTTAGACGGCTGTCAGTGACGTTATTCCCTACGGCCAAAGGCCTAGGCTACATACCCCAAAAAAACTTACCTGTTAGGGCCAGAACTCCTGGGCCCGGGGTAGAGCTCAAGGCTTGGAATCAGGAATAAATTCCTTTAAGGGAATACGACCAAGAGCCTAGAATCATACTAGTCTTGGCCTGTCACACAGGGGCTACCGCACGCTCTGTATGTGCTGAAGGAACTGTCTCAACAGACCCCTAGTAGCAACACCCTGTAAGGCTTATAATGCTGGAGTGGCTAGCAGTAAATCTGTTGCTGAGAGAGCAAACATCCAGCTCTCAATCGAGAGGGAGCTCGACCTACAGCATGTTCCAAAGCTGGAACAGCTAGCAGTTACTTGGCTGAGGGAGCAACACCCCTAGTTCTCAAACAAGAGAAGGCTCGACCTGCAGCATGTTCCAAAGCTGGAACAGCTAGCAGTTACTTAGCTGTGGGAGCAACACACCCAGTTCTCAGTCGAGAAGGGAGCTCTACCTACAGCATGTTCCAATGCTGGAACGGCTAGCAGTAGTTTACCTTGGCTGAGGGAGCACAAACCCAGCTCTCAGCGAGAGGGGGGCTGACCTACAGCGTAGGGGAGCGATGCTTCCAGAGTGTGTCGACAGAGACACACTAGATGATTGGAGCCCAAGGTACCGGGGTCTAAACCAACTCGGAGAAAGGTAACAAGGTCAATAACGCGTAACCCTTACCATACCGGATTCCAGAAAAGTGGGCAAAGCATAACGTGCACACTTACCAGCTATGTGGATTTTAGAAAGTGCGCAAAGCATAAAGTGTGCACTTACCATAGTATGGATTCAAGAGTTTTCCAAGCATCTGCTCACAGATACCCGGAAGTACTGGGCCAAACGGGAGAGGCAAGCTCAAATACAACCCTCTAATCTAAAAATATTTAAATGTATTTAATGCATTATTATTTATTTATTATAGCATTAAAAATTATTTCATTTGTAGTTAACTAGTTAAAAAAGTAAAATAGTTAACCCTACTAGGCAATTGGTGTCTGGTCTTATGTTATTTATTTATTAAATGACATGAGACTTTGATATTTCTTACACTTGCTAAACTTTATACTTCAGTGCAGTAAAGTAGTAAAAAATGTTTAATAGTCGTCATTTTATAATACATCCAAAAGCAAAACGTGATGAGAACTAGGTAGTCTTTGTCAGCTTTCTCGCCCTTGATGAGTTTGCATGCAAAAAAAAAAGGAAACAGCAATGTTTGAATGATTCACTATTATACAAAGCAAATTAATTTTAAACTATTTGTAAATTCACCAGTGTGAAAGAATGTTTAGCGTTTAAGATTGATATACATAAGATATATAATTTTGATACTTCGACAAAAACTACAACCCCAAATCAGAAAAAGTCGGGATGTTTTGTAAAATGCAATGCATTAAGAATCTGTGATTTGTTAATTCTCTTTAACTTTTATTTAATTGACAAAAGTAAAAAGAATAGATTTCCAATGTTTTCACTGACCAACTGTATAAAAAAAAAAAAAAAGTATTTTGTAAATGTAAACATTTTGATGGTTACAACACATTTCAAAAAGTAGTTGGGACAGTTCTTTAAGTTTAGGTTCCTCAGTGTTTTGGCATCATGTAGCCAATGTTTGGTGTGAACAGTATGATGGAGGAGTAGTTAAAAATTCACAGAAGAATCCACATTCAGACCAAAATATCCGACATCCTGTTTTTGAGCATGTTAATGATAAACATGCACTCAAATGATTGAAAAAGAATAATAATAATCTTTAGTAAAACAATAAAGCCTTGTGCCCTCTAGGGTTTGAGCCCTAATAAAACAAACATACAAATGAAGTTACCTGTGCTTTTTTAGACAGGTTTAACAGTATTACTCGGGTAAGTAATAGCCTACAAAAGATGTTGTTTGATTAACATGAATGACAGACAGCTGCAGGGTTATTACTGTTGTCACTTTAAGAACTAATTCATGGATCCAGTATATTGACATTATACTTGTTTCTACCTTAAACTAAATGTTTGTTACTCAGTCATAGTTTATCATATTAATATTTTATTCGTTTGTGAAAAATTTTATATTTTCTCAAGTGCAACACCTTCAACATCTGTAGACTTACCAGTGTCTGCATGTGTTTCTCCTCAAGTGCTGTCCGATGATACACATGCGTTTAAGCATTACGGTCCATGTGGGAAGATGATTATACAATGTCCCAGTAAATCAACTTGTTGCTAATTATACACATTACCTGAAAAATCTGCATATTCAACTGTATGGTGAGTGTGCATGTTGAGTGGTAATTCTGAATTTTGCCTAACCTCAGGAAATCTAGGAGGCATTCCCATATTTGCCTATGAACCAGTTAATGCTGTGGAGCCAATAAAAAGTGTGGCCAAACTCTCTCTTACATTGCACAGGAGCATTTTGCACCCTCGTTAATTTTATTGGGAAATGTGGGAATGTCTCTCAGAGTTCCTGTTTGGTTGGGGAATAATAACTTAGTTTATTTGCGTTAATGTACAGATGATGACTAAGTATATATCCCAGGGAATGTGTTTCATTATCTTCTCATTCGTTTAGTGTCTAACATCAATGTATAACCAATTGCAAACTAACTGATTATTTTTCAGGTGTTTCTCATGCCGGGTTGTGATGTCAAGGTCCCCAAGCGAAAGCTTAACTCTCTGCAGACTTCAGATCCTTTCCAATCCGTCAGTGTACATCGGGGCCCTTGCTGTGCTTGTCTATGGCAGGGAAACTCTGTCTCATTCAGGTTTGACAGGGAGACAGTCGGGGCGCACAAAGACGTGGAATCAAAGCCACAGCTTTATAGCATGAAACTTGATGCTATACTTGGTGAGTGCATTTAATTAAAGGGAAATTAATTATAAAATAAAATAAATTCCTACACATTACTCATAAACTTAAAAAATTTTTTTTTTTTACAAAATTATGTTTGCCATTGTAGGTGACAGTGATCGTGTTAAATGACCTCCAACGTGGACCAAAAAAGGAACATTCCAAAAATGTTGTGAAAATCCTGTAATCCATAAAAGTCTCATTTGGGATCATCAGTTTGGATTTGTGAATGGTTTTCTGATTTCTCTCACTTGGTGACGTTCTGTTTACCTTCACAGACATAACTGACTGTTTTTGTAACTCATGCGTGTTTTTAACGTAAACTTGTGTGTGAATGAGAACTTAGTTTAGTACTCACATG